AAGTTTTTTGTGTCAATACTGAAATCAAGAAATGCAATTTCCTTTTAAAGTAATAATTGTGCAACTCTGGAATGTTTTTTCTCCTCTCAGTTACAAGGTTTTCTCATCATACATGATATTAACAAGTTTGTAAGGTACACTTTTCAATGTTAAAAAAAACGTTAGTTTACATCGCGTCATCGAAAAGAGCATTCAAGTTTTTGGCACTAATTATGTAAGTTAAATATTTAACACATCTTGACCTGGATTAATCCCATCAATGAAAATCAAGTTAAACCCAAATTATTTACAGGAATCTCCTAATACAGTGTGTCTTGGAAAGAAAAAAACCCGACAATTATCGATGCTTAGATCCTCTTTTTTCATTTGATGCAACCCCGGCCCATGATGCATATATTTCACGCATTAGTGATTAAAATAAATTTGAAGAAAGGATACCAAAAAGTAATTTGGCGGACGGTATCTGAATTTCAAAGGAAAAAGAATCATATTTCTAGAAATTTCATTTTCTGCCCTAAATATGTCGCCCCAATCAAAAAAAAAAATGAGCAAGGAGTAAACAAATTATGTTTGTTTAAAGTAATGTTTGCATTTCCATGATTTCATCTTTCCCCTGGATGCCTGCCGTAGCAACAAACACAGTTGACAAAAGACTTAACACGGTTTCGTTGTCAATTAGACATGTATTAAGTCTTTTTCAATGTTGTATGTTGCTACGGCAGGTAGCCCGTGAAATTTTAAAATGCTCAAAACAGTCCTAAAATAATTTTTCATACGTTTTTAAGCATTTTTTTAAAAATCGCGCATATGCGCATGCGCGCGTAAAACTATTACACAACATAGAATCGTCATTTGTTTTCTTTCATAATTTTCCACTATTTTTACAAACAAATTGATATTGGCCCGAATTCACAACAGTGGTACAAAGAGGGATTGTACCATGGGTGTGGTACAAAACCCCCCTCCGAGGTTTAAACCTCTGATTTTAGTATTCACAAAGCAGGTTTAAACCCCCGGGGGTTTAACTACGTCAAAATTTGGTCTAGATTTTGTACTACCCTGAGGTGTAGTACAATCAGTGGTACAATCAGTGGTACAATCCCCCGCGCGTGCGCAAACACCACATCGTCTGCTCTTTTTGAAATTGGCGCTGAAATTTTTGAACAAAAATCACAGACGACATTTACTGAAATTTATGTCAATCATATCGTGTGCGGCAGAATTCAAAACACGAATCGTAAGTAAATCGATGTATTTCCGTCGGGAACATTCATTTACTAGTTATCAAATGTGTTTGTTCAATTTATTTCTCGTTCATTTGATGAATATATAAATTCCACTCGTAATCAGACCATGCCACTGTTGTTTTTCACTTGGGTTTTATCGCAAGAATTGTTTTTATACAGTCCCATTCGTTCATTTTTACGTTGGCTGAGCCGTCATTTTCGGCCGGCCCAGTGCAGCTCATGAGCAGCAGTGGCAGCGCTCGACACATGACATAGTCATAGCTGCATTAGACTACTAATCCTGGCGCTGGCTGTGTATAATTAAAACCTGTTTTATTATTGATTCACAACATTTCAAACACAACTGTACAACAATAAACTGATTTCACTCAAAATCGGTACTTTAGTGACAATTGATGACACGTAAATAGACCTCTAACGTTAGCAGTAAAATACAACTTTACAAGTTTTTCAGTAGTTTTTTCAGTGTTAGCATGGTTAGTAGATCTAGGTCTACTGTCAAACTTAGAAAATCTAGAACAGTTAGGCCTACAGCCGGCCACATCGGCATGATTGTATATACTCTAGCCTAAAAAATTTGTGAAAACCGGGCCGAGACAGGAGGCGTTCCATGGATTTATCAGGTGGTGCCGTAGATCTAGGCCATTTATAGGTACAAAATTATGCAAAAAAATCAAAATCTAAAAAAATTGAGATAGACCCTAGGTCTACAAGGTTTTGTCACCCCACCGACGGTATGCATTTGTGTATAGATCTAGACAGGGCTGTCAACTTTGGGGAACTGCTTCGAGGTAGATCTTTCATAGACCTAGATCTAGGTCTAACTTTAATAATAAATAATAGACTCTAGACCTAGATCTAGAATCTAGGCTCTAGATCTATGCAATTTTTTTTTTTTTTTGGGGGGGGGGGCTTAACAAAATTTAAAAACAGGGAAGGGGGGGGGGTGTTGAGTAAGAAAACAGAATTAAAGTGCTCACTACCCCCCCCCCCCCCATCTGATACGAGTAGACCTACGCTGGTTCATTTTATACGATCTATAAACTTTGGTTAGTTAATTAGCTTGTGTTTTACTTCTATGGTAATGTATGAAATAAATGCATTTTTTTTAATATAGATGTTGCCTTTAGTAATTCAGACTCCTAACAATTTCATTTCATTATTGTTCCACAGACAACTGCTGAACAAGAAAGAAAAATGGCTTATCTGCATCACCTTCGCCGCATCCAGAGAGTGAGAGAGGTAGGATTATTTTTTTTTCTTTCTTCTATTGAATCGTCAATAACTTGTTCAATTTAATTGATTAAAATTAAGAATAAATTAAGGGGTACGTCCAGGGGCGTAGACAACGGGGGGGGGGGGGGGGGGGGGGCATGTACAATCATCCCCCCCAGGTTTTGGGAATGATATTTGCTTAGTCTATAATGATAACAATTATAATATTAATAATAATAATAATTATGATGATGATAATAATAATCCTCATCATTATTGTAATTGTGTTTTTTGTTATTAGCCGCATTCACACGGTGAAAGCCAATTCAGACGGTAAAAAAAAAGAAAATCTTACAAGTATTTTGTGGTTATCTTGTGGTTTGGAAACCACAAGATAATCACAAGATTAAACAGGCGCGGATATAAGGGGGGGGGTGATTTAGGGGGTTTAAACCCTCCCTTGGGCGGCCCAAAAAACAAACAAAAACAAAAAAGGGAAAAAAAAGAAGAAAAAAAAAGAAAGAAAAAAGAACGCACGCTGGAGAGAAACCCTTTCAAGTGCAAATATTGTGAGAAGATATTCAACTCATCTGGTAACCTAGCCAAACACATGATAACTCTGGATATAACTGTGTATTTAACTGTTACTTGATTTAAAAAGACGTTATCATGCACTGCTTTTTATGGTCTCCATTGTGTTAATAGATGCCAGGAAAACATCACTTACGGGGTTCAAATTAAACACCCCAAAAAAAGTCGGCTCGCCCCCCCCCCTTAGCAAAAAGCTAGATCCGCCCCTGAGTCATCCCCCCCCCCCATCTGATACGAGTAGACCTACGCTGGTTCATTTTATACGATCTATAAACTTTGGTTAGTTAATTAGCTTGTGTTTTACTTCTATGGTAATGTATGAAATAAATGCATTTTTTTTTAATATAGATGTTGCCTTTAGTAATTCAGACTCCTAACAATTTCATTTCATTATTGTTCCACAGACAACTGCTGAACAAGAAAGAAAAATGGCTTATCTGCATCACCTTCGCCGCATCCAGAGAGTGAGAGAGGTAGGATTAATTTTTTTTTCTTTCTTCTATTGAATCGTCAATAACTTGTTCAATTTAATTGATTAAAATTAAGAATAAATTAAGGGGTACGTCCAGGGGCGTAGACAACGGGGGGGGGGGGGGGGGGTGGCATGTACAATCATCCCCCCCCCCCCAGGTTTTGGGAATGATATTTGCTTAGTCTATAATGATAACAATTATAATATTAATAATAATAATAATTATGATGATGATAATAATAATCCTCATCATTATTGTAATTGTGTTTATTGTTATTAGCCGCATTCACACGGTGAAAGCCAATTCAGACGGTAAAAAAAAAGAAAATCTTACAAGTATTTTGTGGTTATCTTGTGGTTTGGAAACCACAAGATAATCACAAGATTAAACAGGCGCGGATATAAGGGGGGGGGGGTGATTTAGGGGGTTTAAACCCTCCCTTGGGCGGCCCAAAAAACAAACAAAAACAAAAAAGGAAAAAAAAAAGAAAAAAAAAAAGAAAGAAAAAAGAACGCACGCTGGAGAGAAACCCTTTCAAGTGCAAATATTGTGAGAAGATATTCAACTCATCTGGTAACCTAGCCAAACACATGATAACTCTGGATATAACTGTGTATTTAACTGTTACTTGATTTAAAAAGACGTTATCATGCACTGCTTTTTATGGTCTCCATTGTGTTAATAGATGCCAGGAAAACATCACTTACGGGGTTCAAATTAAACACCCCCAAAAAAAATCGGCTCGCCCCCCCCCCCTTAGCAAAAAGCTAGATCCGCCCCTGAGTCACCCCCCCCCCCCCCAGGTGTACGAACCTGTCTACGCCACTGGGTACGTCTATCTAAATTGATAGATCTAGTAATTTTTAGGTTTTAAGAGACACGAGGACTGTTCATGAATGTTGTTACGCATACCACCAAGTAACAGTACCCATTAGGCCTAGATCTACTTCCTTTTTCTTTGCAAATACCCATTTGAGTAAGACTTTAGATCAATTTTTTTTAAATATTTACATCTTGCTGATGAAATTTGAACTCTCATATTCTACGAATCAAGTTTGAGTAGTATGAAGACCTGGAATAGAAATGTGTTGAATCTACATCATGTCATTGCTGAGATTGTTGACAGAATATCTTTCATGATTCACTGTTTTGCCATGGTTTAAAAAGAAATGTTGACTTCAAATGATCTAGAGTGGGGGGGGGGGGGGTGTAAAGCCAATACCCAGCTCTAAGAACTCCCAAAATACCCTGACCTAGTTAGGCCTAATTGGGAAATCAATCCTACGGTAGGGAAGAGAAGGAAAGATGACTATATAATGAAAATCATTCTTTAGACATGCACTTTTTTATTGAATATTTCAACTCATCTCATCAAACTATATCTATCTTTTGCATACAGGTACCTCAGCCGAGACCTATTTGAGGTCTAAGGGATGCGAAAAATCCTCTTGAATTTTACGAGGATAAAGCGTTTCAACTGCGATACCGTTTCTCAAAGGAAACGGTAATCTACCTCATCAACATGCTTGAAGGGGACTTGAAGAGGAACACAGAGAGGAATGATCCACTACCTGTTTATCTGCAGGTTTTGACGGCTCTTCGTTTCTATGCCGTTGGTGAGTACTTAATTTTTTCTTAAACTAAACTTGTGTATAACCGTACACCGCTTTTAAAGGGTTCGTACAGGTCATTGAAAATTGAACACCAGCCTGAATTTGACTTGAAAAAATATACCTTTTTAATAAAAAAATAAAAAAATCTCTCTTGAGCATTACCTTCTTTCATGTACATGATCTTCTTGGCAATTTTTCTCCAATGTTAGAAAATATTTTTCAGACAATCTTCTATTAACCTGATCTCATTTTCAATTATAGGATCATTCCAGAAGATGCATGGTGACGAGGCAACAGTATCACAGTCCTCTGTTTGTAGAATCATCAAAGATGTTTCGGAAGCTATTGCAGGAAGGAAGAGGCAATTCATGAAGTTTCCAACAACGAGAGATGAAATTGAAACGACCCAGCAGCAATTCTACGAGTACTGCGGATTTCCAGGGGTCATAGGTGCTATCGATGGGACTCATGTCTACATCAGGAGTCCTGGTGGGGATCAAGCCCTGTACTTCATGAACAGGAAGAACAGGTATTCTGTGAATGTACAGGTAAGACTAGTTACAATTTTTCTTATTGACTTTATTGCTAGCTTACAAAATGTTTGCAACCATTTTTCCAACTTCCCCGTTGGCTTCTTTGATTGTTCATCATATTAAACTTTCATTTTTTAAAATACTTTTGCCTTGTTTGCCCCCTCTCCCCCCTCCCCCTAGATACGCCACTGGTTACTTTATTTTGTATTGGGAGTCAAACATTTGTTACAATAAGTAGCCTTGACAACATTACACTTTGGGAAAAATATGATGAAAATGTAAGAAATGAAATGCATGTGAAAATAAAGAAATTAAAGTCTATCTATGAAGTTCAGTATGAGTTTAAGATGTGTTTTTCTCTTCAACTTATTGGTAGGTTGTTTGTGATCATGCTGGGAAAATGACAAGTATCGTGGCAAGATGGCCTGGCAGCACTCACGATTCCCGGATTTTCTCAGAGTGCACACTGAAGGAGCAACTAGAGGCAAGGGCAGATGGTTCTGAGTTGCTACTTGGAGATAGTGGGTATGTGGATTGGTGTTTTGTTAATGGTAATCCAATTGTAATCACAAATGTAGACATGCAGTACATGTTGATACATATTCTTTTAAAAGTCCTTTGTAGGATAAAGATACCGTTTAATGAAAATTTAGATTGACCATTCTTTCTTGAATTATTAAATGCATACTTGTTATTTTGAGTAAGCAGTAGTGTTGCGGAAATTGAGACATTTGGATAGATTTGGACCTAGTCTTGCAGGCATTAGTAAGAAACGGATCACGATAATTATTTTACTTTGTACTGAAAAGCACTTCAATTTAAACAACAAATTTTAAGAAATTGAAATTTTTCTCACACAGCCAATGCAGACAGTTTATTTTGGAATGCTAGATTGATATTCTAGATTACTTTCTTCTACAATTATATCATTATGATGTAAATTAAAGAAATGAATATCTATAGTACTTTCCTTAAGGAAGGAATAACAAGTGAATGTTTTGTTTTTATCTTCAAATTTCAGGTACCCGTGCCTCCCCTATCTCCTGACTCCTCTCCTACGTCCTCAAGGACGGCCAAATGTGCGCTACAATACTGCCCACAAAAGAGGGCGGTGCGTCATTGAGCGCACATTTGGCCGTTGGAAGAGGAGGTTCCCTTGCCTCAATGATCTGCGCGTGAAGGTGGACACTACATTTACAATTATAGTGGCTTGCTCGGTCCTGTGGAATATCTCTCTCGACCGCCGCGAGCAAGATATTCCAGGACCTGAGCCCGATGAGATGCCACTTGTCCACCTTCCTCCTGGCCTCCATGACGCTGTCGCTGGTAGGTTATGGAGAGATCAGATCATTGAGGATCACTTCACCCATTAACAGTCAGTACGCTGCTGCAAAAAAAAAGAGCCTGTATTTATCGTAGTTGTATGCAAGCCCAGCGGTCAATATGCATGCATATGCAATAACACAGACATGTTTCTACCTATACAAAATGGTTTCTTGTTAATCATTTTGCATGAATGATAGTCAAATTGAAGAGGAAAAACTGCTCTTTCATTAATCTGAATGAAATATAAACTGGACTCCATTACCTTATGAAATACTTTGTCATCGAGTACAAGCTTACCAGTACCTTTTCCCTATTTCTGAGAATTTAGACATCACTCTTTGTATGGTGTGAAGATCAGGTAATTTGTTGACTCGAATTTTGGGGGCTACTTTTCAAGCTTGCTTGCATGAAAATAACACTCTTTAAAGGGATCCGGTAACTTTTTATGCCTCCGCCACCGAAGGTGGTGCCGGAGGCATCATGTTTTCGGGTTGTCCGTCCGTACGTCCGTCCCTTTTGACCGTTATCACAATATCTCAAGAACCACTGGAGATTTAAACTTCAAACTTAGTGATAGTGTGTATCACTATAGGAAAACAATCTGATTACATTTTGGAGCACGTAGGTCAAAGGTCAAGGGTCATAGAGGTCAACTTATGAAATTCCATACATTGAGATTGTTATCATGATATCTCAAGAACCACTGGAGATTTAAACTTCAAACTTAATGATAGTGTGTATCACCATATCATAATATCTCAAGAACCACTGGAGATTTAAACTTCAAACTTAATGATAGTGTGTATCACCATAGGAAGACAATCTGATTAGATTTTGGAGCACGTAGGTCAAAGGTCAAGGGTCACAGAGGTCAACTTATGAAATTCCATACATTGAGATTGTTATCATGATATCTCAAGAACCACTGGAGATTTAAACTCCAAACTTGTTTAAATTGCTCTATGGCGGAGGCATCATTTTCGACTGCGCGCAGTCAAAATTCCATCTAGTTTTGTCTCAGATTCTGAATCAAAATTCTGGATTTAGCTCGTGATGCAATGATAATTATAAACCTTTAGGTCAGTCAGGAACCCCATGACTTTTCCAAGCCGATCGCCTGTCTGAATATCAAGATATTTATGATTGGAATAACAAATTTTGAAAACCGTTCGCCTGACGGTTTCATAACACTACAGTCTATTGGGGAAAACGAGTATGGTAAAACCGGTCACTCAAAGATTTTTACTTTTTGAGGCACTTCTTGATCATTTTGAAGCGCAATTTTTTTAGGGCTTCAATATTACACCCTATCACAGACACTGATAACACGTAGGGCCGTGTATATCAGATTTAACATTGTTAAACGATCCCTTTAATTTGTTTTGCATTGAACTCTATGCAAATTTTGGGAGCTCTTTTATGACTTTCGGGGGCTCTTTTGGGCATTTTAAACATGGCTGCTCAAAAAACTGCGCATGCGCGAGAAAATGGGAGTCTACATCATCCCCTGCAATATTCATAAATGAGAAATTTATAAAATTTTAATAATGAGACTTCATTACGTGATGCTGTAAAAACGTCCATTTCGCAAAAATATATCAACATTTCATATCATTTGGAAGGAAATATTCTGGAGATCGACTTACGCAAATGGAGTCTACATCATCCCCTGCAATATTCTTGCACGATATTGTAACTTCTAGTTTGTGGATATTATTGCTCAAGCTGTTTTGAGACGCACAATAACTTACGCATGATATGCTAATTAGCGAGCGTGCAGCGGTCTGACTGTTAAATTAAAGTAGCCACTCAGAACTATCTGCTCTGCCTCCAGCGGTTATTTCAGTTCCTGCAGAGGAAATCCGGGAATTGTGATGCTGACAAGGTACTTGTTATTTTTCCAGTATGCAGGGTTTTATGCAACTACATTTGCAACTCGATTACATTCTACATCATAGTCAGGTCTTTTTTTCTAAGGGGGGGGGGGTCTTGGCTATTTTGTTTGTATTACAAACAAAATAGGATCCTTTTGCTCCTAATCGCTAAATTAAAATTCGCAAATGCATATTTTGTTTATGGGTCTTCTGTGTAATATTCATGTTATTTGAATGAGAACAAAAATTATTATGCAATTATGCATGCCTATTCATTTTTTGGAATATTTGATCAGACATGTAACTCCAAATTTGTACATGAAATTTCAAAATATTGACAATAAATAAAAGCTTATATTTTTTGTCGCAAATTACATCAAACTTAAACTTTTCGCTTAACATTTCAATCATTTAAAACGATGGCAAAAAAATGAGAAAAAAATGACATGAAAACAGAGCTTTTTTGCAAAACATGAAGAGTGGGGACAAATTCTGCTAGTGGCCTGATTAAGGTTAAAAACCTGACAGTGTGGAGACCAGAATTTGAACAGGTTTTGATTAATATCTATGGCGTTCCAATACTGGCATTCTCCTACTACTCTAGAATGTAATTAAGAATGTAAGTTTAGCTGTATGCAGCACTGCAAAACAAACAACTTTTGCATAAAGCGGTATCCTGTGATTCCTGTGAAGAAGTAATTTGGCTGTTTCCTACCACTGATTCCTGATCTAAACATATCTCATCGGTACACCTAGCACTCCTGGTTACCTGTAGTACTAGTAAAATTGTTTGTTGACTTGTTTCAATTTCTTCTCTCAATGTTTTTAACCTCGGGATTGCATCATCCTTCTTGCACTAGTTTTCTTACCATCTTAGATGATTTACATGACTGTGGTATTGATGCCTCGTCATCATGGTGTCAAACCTGTAGCTGTCACTACCTGTTATTTAATGGAGTATTTTTCTTTGTGTTTCTCTTAAGAATATCCTCAAGCATGTTGATGAAGTAATATACTGTTCGCTTCATTCTCGTAAAATTCAAATTAATAATATTTGGAGCCAATACCACCAAATTGTCATTGTGAATTGCTGTCACTACTATTACAGATATTTTATGCCATATGTTAGATCTTAATTATTACCCAAAAAATAAATAAATTGCTCGAACATGTTACTTTGTGTCAGTTTTTGTAGGTAGCAATTTAGTGAAATAATAGAAAGGCAGAACAAAAATTTAAAACGATGGAGAGTTGTAATTTATTGCTATATGTACAGTGTAATTCCAAAGTATTGAATGGCATTTATGTGCAAGAAACATTTGAAAATCACAAGTTAAATCAGTTTGTGATCAATGTAGCACTATGTTGAACAGAAAACCTTTGCAGAGTCAAACAGATCCTGCTTTGCAGCTGTTCATTTGAAGACATGTTCATATATACTTTATATTTACATTGGCAATGGCATTTATGTGCAAGAAACATTTGAAAATCACAAGTTAAATCAGTTTGTGATCAATGTAGCACTATGTTGAACAGAAAACCTTTGCAGAGTCAAACAGATCCTACTTTGCAGCTGTTCATTTGAAGACATGTTCATATATACTTTATATTTACATTGGCAGTGGCATTTATGTGCAAGAAACATTTGAAAATCACATGTTAAATCAGTTTGTGATCAATGTAGCACTATGTTGAACAGAAAACCTTTGCAGAGTCAAACAGATCCTACTTTGCAGCTGTTCATTTGAAGACATGTTCATATATACTTTATATTTACATTGGCAATGGCATTTATGTGCAAGAAACATTTGAAAATCACATGTTAAATCAGTTTGTGATCAATGTAGCACTATGTTGAACAGAAAACCTTTGCAGAGTCAAACAGATCCTACTTTGCAGCTGTTCATTTGAAAGACCATGTTTATATTGTAATTGCATTTTAAGTGCACAAAACATTTGAAATCAAATAAATGTTTGTGATCAATATGGCACTACATTGAACAACAACTTTTGCCTATTAATCACACATCATACATTGTTGCTGTCCATTTAAAGACATGTTTATATTAATAATTACATTAGCAATTACAATTGAAGTGCAAGAAATATTTGAATCATGCTAGAAATCAATATGTGAACGATATATCTTAAATGTAGAATTAAACATGTTTAACAGAACAGCTTAAATTATTTTTGATTAATTAGTTAGATAAGATGTATTACCCTGTGCTTCAAGCAGTTTGGCTTCAGCAGCCTGTTTCTCTATTTTGATAATTTCCATACGCAGTTCATGCTCTTTTATTTTTAAATTGTGTTCTTTCCATAAAATGTCCAGCCTTACGGCATGCTCCTCCTCTGCCAATTCAACCATCCTATCCTCTGCTAACCGACATTTCTTGTTTTGAGAGTTATAACTCAATGCTCGCTTAGCAGCAGGAGTCCTCAGAAGAGCAGTGTTGATTTCTGTATTGCTGTATGGTTCAGATTCAGAATAATTTGATACATGTTAATCGTTGCATATATTACTTCATTTAATTTATTGTAAATATAACGAACATGGCTTAAACCTTGATTGTCACAGATATTGAAAGCTTTTGAAAGATATGTAGTAGCTGTCTGCTAAAAAAAAAATTAAAAAGAGTTTTGTGCATATAATAGACAAGATAATTTTATGCAAAATGTATTACACTTTAATTGATAAAACAATGTTTGGTAAATTATGATTGTTATGTAGGAAGGAATAACAAGTTTTTTTCTTTTTTTAGTAATAAACTACTCAATATTGTATAGTTATGGATACCTTGAAAGGGATCGTGGGGTCGCTGTAGATGTACTAGGCTGGGAGGCGAGACCTTCGGACATAACTTCGGATGAGGTTGTCCTATTGGGATAAAAAATAAAATATTTGTTGTAGTTATGCATGAACTTGAACAATGTTGCAAGAATTTTACTTTGGAATTCAGGTTTAATTTATTAATGTCTTCAGTATTGAAACTACTGATCCTAATTTCATGCAAAATGTAATACACTTTAATTGATAAAACAATGTTTGGTAAATTATGATTGTTATGTAGGAAGAAATAACAAGTTTTTTTCTTTTTTTAATAATAAACTACTCAATATTGTATAGTTATGGATACCTTGAAAGGGATCGTGGGGTCGCTGTAGATGTACTAGGCTGGGAGGCGAGACCTTCGGACATAACTTCGGATGAGGTTGTCCTATTGGGATAAAAAATAAAATATTTTTTGTAGTTATGCATGAACTTGAACAATGTTGCAAGAATTTTACTTTGGAATTCAGGTTTAATTTATTAATGTCTTCAGTATTGAAACTACTGATCCTAATTTCATGCAAAATGTAATATACTTTAATTGATAAAACAATGTTTGGTAAATTATGATTGTTATGTAGGAAGGAATAACAAGTTTTTTTCTTTTTTTAATAATAAACTACTCAATATTGTATAGTTATGGATACCTTGAAAGGGATCGTGGGGTTGCTGTAGATGTACTAGGCTGGGAGGCGAGACCTTCGGACATAACTTCGGATGAGGTTGTCCTATTGGGATAAAAAATAAAATATTTTTTGTAGTTATGCATGAACTTGAACAATGTTGCAAGAATTTTACTTTGGAATTCAGGTTTAATTTATTAATGTCTTCAGTATTGAAACTACTGATCCTAATTTCATGCAAAATGTAATACACTTTAATTGATAAAACAATGTTTGGTAAATCATGATTGTTATGTAAGAAGGAATAACAAGTTTTTTTAAATTTTAATAATAAACTACTCAATATTGTATAGTTATGGATACCTTGAAAGGGATCGTGGGGTCGCTGTAGATGTACTAGGCTGGGAGGCGAGACCTTCGAACATAACTTCGGATGAGCTTGTCCTATTGGAATAACAAATAAAATTATTTGTAGTTATGCATGAACTTGAAGACCTGTTTATATATACAAAAATAATACTGCAAATAATCCAATTTCATTATGTTAAAAGAGTACTACATTAGGAAAAAAATGTATGCCCTACTGGTTTTATATTGTATTATCAAAGAAACATGATTGTACATTACCCAAGTAGAAAATATTACTGCAATGTATATATATATATGTATTAAAATTTCTTAACAAAAAGGACATTATTTTGAAAAATGTATTTTTGATTTTATAATGCCGTACTCTTCAATACCTTGGTTCGAGAAATGATCCTGTTGACAGTCCTGTGTTTGTTGGTGTTGATCTTGACCTGAGAATGTGAGAAAAGTAACTCTTTTTATTAACAGAAAAAGAAGAAAAAATCCTGAATGAAAAATAACCTAAGTCCAAGTTTTGCCCAAATTAAGTTAAATATTTGCTTTTGTTCCTTGATCGTACAACTATCTTATGTATAATAGGTAACCTTTCATTCACCCTGGATGTTCTGGTACCCCCCCCCCCCCCCACTCCTTAAAAAAAAAAAGGGAGGGGGAAAGAAATTCCAGTATCAATCATCTCTAATTTTTGGAAATTAAAAAACGAACATGGAATTCCGTCTTTTCTGACATGAAATTTAATTTATTTTTTAACATTCATAATTGTAACATCGAATGGATTACATTTTATTATGGTGGATTATGTATGGTAACTGAGAGGACTTATGATTTCTGGAGTGGTGGATATGAAGTATCAATACCGTCGTGCTCTTTCCCTTGAGGGTCGAGTAGTCCTCGATATATGAGAACATGACAGATATTTTTAACAATCATGTCATTCTAAAAAAAAAAATGGCAAATTGTTAAGAACCTATTTCTCTTCATTTCATTTAGCTGAAAAGATAATTTGCGGCTTTAACCCCCCCCCCCCGCCCCCACCAAAAAAAAAAAAATGAAATTCTTTCATTCTATTAATTCTATCAAAAGAAACAAGAAATACATACCTACTAATCATGTACTTTTAGTAGATTTAGACAACTGTTTGAAAGTGGTTTCTGTATGGATATATTTTTATTTGTTTGTTTGTTTGTTGTTGTTTTTTTATTTGGGGGGGGGGGGGAGTGGCATTATTTTGAATTATCACTATCATTTTTATTGTTTGATAAAGAATCGCCCTAGAGGATTACATTTTTCATTAAAAAGGAATGTAGTGAACAATACATGTAAGACTAAACATTTACAAGCTTAACTTTAAGGAATATTTACAGTGTAAAACAATTAATGAAAATCTGTCATAAAAAAATAAAAAAATAAGTACAGGTAGACTCTAGAACCAAACGATAGACAATTCATGTTTGGGGATGGGGGTTACTTCTGCTTTAATATTTCACTATCTAGCTTGCCATATAAAGAAATGAAACGTTCAGACGTTAGTCCTTTTTTTTTTCTTCAAACGCCAACTCGATCGGCAAACAGAATGTTTGTTTGTATGTTTGTTTTTTAATGTAGATGTAATTTTTTCTTTAAAAAAATAAAACTTTTGTGTGGACATTGGTAGGCAAGTGATAAGTTCAAATCTACCTCGGATTCGATGATTTTTAATAATTTTTTATTTCAAGAACAAACATGACGGTTAAAAAAAACCAACGTAATTTACTGCGCATGTCACGTCAAGAAAATCCATTCACAAAAAAGTTGTGGAACTTCTAACAGAATACTTTAGTCGAGGCCGGTACGCTCCATTCCGACGGATATTTTTTCATATAAAATTAGTTTCATCACTGATTGTAAGTAGTTCAATGAACATATTTAATGATCAATTTATTATGCTTTCAACGAAAATTGGAATTTTACTTATTTGAGGCTATTCAGGCCAACTTTTAGATGCTAGTAACCCCTACGTCGCAAGTGATGTCTGTGAACAACAAGCCGAGGCGTGCGGAGTCTTCTCGGCCAGCTAAACGTTAGGCATATTACTAGATCTAGGGTGTTGCTTCAATGTCATGACATTAATTTCTACGGATGGGACTGATCTCGGACGAGTGACGATGAGCAGACGATCGTGACTTGTTCGATGTTTACTGTTTTATTTCATTCCATCTAGTAAATGTAAGGTGTTATATAGCATCTTATGTTATTCATCTTGCAATGAATGATACATTTTTAGCGATTTTAGTGGTTTTATTTGTTATATTTGCACATAAAAAATCTCAATCTAGCCAAAGAGAAAGAGCTGAATTGAATTTGATATCCTGAGCGGCTTCGACAGAGCAAATCCCTCAAAATTCTTCTAACTATCCACTGGCTCAATAACAAGAGGCCATCATTTCTAGGTAGTCAAACAACGTTTCAATACAAGACTTGGGCAGTAGAGTCTATACTATTTAGTTTCTCAATAATGAGTGTAAATGATTGGAATGGCCTTCCCTAAAGTAGTAAAGAACTGGTCAATGCTGCCACCAATTATTCATTTATTAGATCTAGCCTAGGCCTAGCCTAGAATGGTATTGGAGAAACAATCTTAATTAAGTTTGAACCATAATTGAGATGGGAAGGATCAGTAAAGAGGGAAAATAAGCTAAGCTTCTAGTCTCTACACCCAAGTAGTCTATACAGATCTAACATTAGTTACTTACTCATTACGGCCAGTTGCTATTGACGTCAGGGAATTTATGGCGATGATGTTTTCTTGGTCCTGGTTGTTGTCATCGTCGAATCTATTCCTAAGCTGTACAAAATCATACGGGCAAAGTTCCTTAACTATGATAGTGAGGTTGCTGGGTTCAGGTGGAGGTGGCCCTCCTCTTGTCTTCCTACTCTCTCTAGTGTAGTTAGAATACTCTTTCTTCGCGTTAATCCGGATCCTTTTCCATTGATCCTTTATCTGGATGCAACTCCATCTCCTTCCAAACTTTGCATGGAAGGCTTCAACCAAAGCCTCCCAAGCACCAGCTTTGTTTGAGTTTGTAAGATAATCGGTCTTTCTAGACAGTAATATACCCTTCCTCTGGCTTATCATCTCTATCAGGAAGTTTCTCTCTCCCACTTGCCAGTTGCCTTTCGTCCTCTCCCTCCCTGCACACACAGTAGCTGCATCACCCTCCATTTTTAGATGTAGCAGACAGCATCTGATCTACTGAGCATGCTCAGTAGAAAGAAACCATGGTACAATCCATGGTCTAGGATTGTACCATGGTACAATTGAAACTATCGTTGGTGAATCAGAGAGAGGTTTAAACCCCCCGGGGGTTAACACCATGGTTTCAAAAACCTAGGGGGGGGGGGGTTTAAACCCCCGGGGGGTTTTGTACCACTGTTGTGAATTCGGGCCTATATGTTTATCTCTTTATGACTTTATCACATAAAAGTCATGACGCGCGCGTACGCGTGCGTCAACATTTTAAAATGCTCAAAATCACCTAACTATTAAACAAAAGTACGAATCAAGTCATTTTAAGCATTTCAATTTTTTCCGTCCGTACGTGTCCCCGCGCGCGTTGTGCGCGCTCACTGCGCGCGGAAAAGGTCAAATTCAAAATGTTTACATGATTTTGATTTCTCTTACCGTAATTAACAATTTACATTAATTTCAGTCACTTTTGACCTTTCATAAGGCCGTTAGCGCGCGTCAAAGTTCGAAATCCGCGCGTGCTGCAATGGGCAATATAATGCAAATTTGATAAAAAAACATGCCTATACAAAATCCATTGTAGCTTTTTAGGATGCAAGGTGACCCCGAGTTTGTTTTCATATTTTGATAGAGTATGAATCGGAACATGATTTTTATGTCTCATTTTATCCTCAATTAACTCGTCATCATAATGGCCTCCGAACTCAAAATTTCAATTTGCATATTATGACGTTAGCAGATTTTTGGAAAATTGATTGTATCTCTGTAAATATTGATCAATTTTCTTTCAAATTTTGATATGTTCTACCTGAGAATATTCTCTAAAAATAAAGTTACACGATATTTCATTTTGACGATGGCATCATGGCGTATTTTTGCGATTAAAGGAGGCATGTTAATTTTTCACATTTTGTGTGTTTTCTCTACGGGACATGACTTTTTCTCAAAACTGGATTCTACATTCTTGTCTTTCGCGAGCAATATCTCCGTCGTTTCATCTTCGTTTACGCTGAGCTTTGACTATGTTGTAGCTGAGATAATTAGCTATCACTATTGTGCCATATTATTTGTTCGATTAGATGCCGGTATCATGGTCATATTTCACTTGCAAAGTGGGATTTGAGAATACAATTTTCCGTTTACGTGTAATCGCTATGGGAAATGTTTCGGTATATCGGTAACGCACTTGACTTCCGACCTCGAGACCCCAGGTTCGAGTCCAGGCGTCTCCAAACAAATTTTCTTCACTTTTTTTTTTCTTTTTTACCTTTCACTCTACCATCTCCTTTGAATATTAAAACACGTAGAATGGTAAATAATGTAATAAACAACCATATTTACTTTATTATTACCATATTATCACTTGATTAATTACTTTTTGCGTGTAATCCATATGGGAGATGACTTTTTCTCAAATCTGGATTCTACATTCCTGTCTTTTGCTAACAATATTGCCGTTTTTTCCTCTTGGTTTTTGTGGATTTTTGAGTATGTTGTAGCTGATACATGCTATCTAAATATCCCGTAACTTTTTTTTCAATAAGATGTCAGGATCACACTCATGATCATCATGATCATCATGATAATCATTATCATCATCATGACAATCATGATCATGATCAAGTAGTTCATTTCTCAATACTTTGTGTCATATTCATTAGGCCTACATATTTTGATATTTGTTTGCATTAAATTTTATCATGATCATGATCATTATGCATCATCATGATAATTTCTCAATATTTCGTTCATCAGTTCAGCTCATCAGTTTAGTTCAGTTCATCAGTTCAGCTCATCAGTTTAGCTCATCAATTCAGTTCATTTCACATCAGTTCAAGCTATCAGTTCATCAGTACTTCTTGAAAATGACCAAACTAAATGCCTTCAAATTTGGCACACATCTGTATAGGCATATGTACAAAGCACAATAACGTTTTCAACATTGATCTTAACTCATGACGTCATCTAGGCGCCATTTTGAAATTTTTTCGGAAAATCAACTCATGATCATATCTTCATAACCAAAAGCTTTTTCTCATTCATATTTATTTTGATCAAGGTCAATATCCGTCCGGTCAATTTCAGGTCAAATTTTAAAATGCTCAAAATCGTCTCAAAATCATTTTACATACATTTAAGGCCATTCTAAGCATTTTATTAAAATATGCGCACACGCGCATGCGCGCGCGTTTTTGCGCGTAAAACTATTACACAACATAGAATCGCCATTGTTTTTTCTTTCATAATATTCCACATATATTTAAAAACAAATTGATACCATGTTTGTCTCTTTATGACTATTAATAACGGAATGATCAACCGTTTAACAAAAGTTCCGTGCACGCGAGCTTTTGTAATACATAGCATATATGGGCAAAAACATGCCTATACAAGATCCACTGTAGCTCTTTAGAATGGAACTGAAACCCCATTTTTTTTTCATATTTTGATAGAATATGAGTTGGAGATATGATTTAATGTCTCATTTGACCCTCAATTAACTCATGACGTCATCAAAATGGCCTCCGAACTCAAAATTCCAATTTTCATATTACGACGTCAGCATATTTTTGGAAAATTGATTGTATCTCTGTAAATATTAATTGATTTACTTCCAAATTTTGATATCTTTTAGCTGAGAAAATTCCCGTCTTTCACAAGCCAAATCTTCGTCGTTTTAGCTTCATTTACGCTGATTTCTAGTATGTTGTAGCTGAGAAAAAAAGCACGATGACTTGAAAATGGCTCAATCAAATGCCTTCAAATTTGGCACACCTATGTATAGGCATATGTACAAGGCACAATAACGTTTTCAACATTGACCTTGACTGATGATGTCATCAAAGCGCCATTTTGTAAAATTTTCGGAAAATCAACTCATGATCATATCTTCATAACCAAACGTTTTTTCTCATTCATATTTATCATGATTAAGGTCAATATCCGTCCGGTCAATTTAAGTTTTAAAAAAAGGCGCGTCAGTACGCGCGCAAAATTTTAAAATGCTAAAAAAAAAACTCAAAATCATTTTGCATACGTTTTAGGCCATTCTAAGCATGTTATACAAAATCTCGCTCATGCGCGCGCGTTTTCGCGCGTTCTGACATTTTACAACATAGAATCGCCAAATTGTCTTTGTCATCATAATATTCCACATATTTGTACACACAAATTGATACCATGTTTGTCTCTTTATGACTATTAATAACGGAATGATCGACCGTTTAACATAAATTTCGGTGCGCGCGAGCTCTTGTAATACATAGCATATATGGGCAAAAACATGCCTATATACAATCCATTTTAACTCTTTAGGTTGCAAGGTGACCCCAATTTTTTTCATATTTAAATAGAGTATGAATAGGAGATATTGTTTCATGTCTCATTTGACCCTCAATTATCTCATGATGTCATCATAATGGCCTCCGAACTCCAATTTGCATGTTATGACGTCAGGATATTTATGGACAATTGATTGTATCTCTGTGAATATTGATCAATTTTCTTCCAAATGTTGATATGTTCTAGCTGAGACAATTCTCTACCAATGTAGTTACTACAACATTTTGGCAAAGGCATCATGGCCTATTTTTGCGATTAAAGGAGGCATGTCACTTTTTTCACATTTTGCGTGTATTCTCTATGGGAGATGACTTTTTCTCAAACTGGATTCTACATTCTTCTCTTTTGCTAACAATATTGCCGTTTTTTCCTCTTGGTTTTTGTTTATTTTTGAGTATGTTGTAGCTGATATATGCTATCTAAATATCCCGTAACTTTTTTTCAATCAGATGTCAGGATCACGCTCATGATCATCATGATCATCATGATCATCATGATCATCATGATAATCATTATCATCATCATGACAATCATGATCATGATCAAGTAGTTCATTTCTCAATACTTTGTGTCATATTCATTAGGCCTACATATTTTGATATTTGTTTGCATTAAATTTTATCATGATCATGATCATTATGCATCATCATGATAATTTCTCAATATTTCGTTCATCAGTTCAGCTCATCAGTTTAGTTCAGTTCATCAGTTCATCCGTTTAGCTCATCAATTCAGTTCATTTCACATCAGTTCAAGCTATCAGTTCATCAGTACTTCATTCATCAATTAATATACATCATTTTACATTAACATCATTTTATTGGGTAATTGAATTGAAGATGAGCATGATCATAATAATTGAAGACAGACCACCTAAATCGTCCCCATGACGAATTAAATTTCTAGTTATTATTTATCAGGTTGGCTGTATAACGTACAGGCCACCTTATAATTTCGTTAGAATTGCCTTCATTTATTTATATCTTTTTCTTATTTCTAACCACTTTTTTGTAAGCACGATTTCTTGAAAATGACCAAACTAAATGCCTTAAAATTTGGCACACATCTGTATAGGCATATGTACAAAGCACAATAACGTTTTCAACATTGATCTTAACTCATGACGTCATCTAGGCGCCATTTTCAAAAAAAAATTCGGAAAATCAACTCATGATCATATCTTCATAACCAACAGCTTTTTCTCATTCATATTTATTTTGATCAAGGTCAATATCCGTCCGGTC